TTATTCGCATTCTTCGGTATATAAAGTCAGCTCCAGGCAAAGGATTACTATTCGAGGATCGAGACCACAAGCAGATTGTTAGGTACACAGATGTTGATTGGGCAGGATCACCTTTTGATAGACGTTCTACGTCTGGATATTGTGTTCTAGTAGGAGGTAATTTGGTCTCGTGGAAGAGCAAGAAACAGAATATAGTTGCTCGATCTAGCGCCGAAACCGAATATCGAGCCATGGCTATGGCGACTTGTGAGTTAGTTTGGGTCAAGCAGTTGCTCAAGGAGTTAAAGTTCGGAGAAATCAGCAAGATGGAACTAGTGTGTGATAACCAAGCTGCTCTTCATATTGCGTCAAATCCGGTGTTCCATGAGAGGACTAAACACATTGAGATCGACTGTCACTTTGTCAGAGAAAAAATACTTTCAGGAGATATTGTTACAAAGTTTGTAAAGTCGAATGATCAACTAGCAGATATTTTCACTAAGTCTCTTACTGGTTCTCGTATTAGTTACATGTGTAACAAGCTCGGTACATATGATGTGTATGCACCGGCTTGAGGGGGAGTGTTAGTTTATAGATATGCATAGTGATAGTCTTGTCCTACATTGGAAGAGGAGTAATATCTCCTTGTAGTGTATAGCTATAAATAGGGACCTTTTGTGTTGTATTTATCATCCAATTTCAGTAACATATTTTCTCCCGTGCCTTCTAACACCATTGTAGTACATAGTGTTTTCTGAAATTAACTCTTCAGTGTTGCCGTCTCAATTCGACTATTCTGATGGCTAAGCAAAGATTCCTTTGCAGAACGAGATTACCTGGCTTGAGGACAACTGGTACAATGAAGAGAGTAGATTCCTTGCATTTACGTAAGAAACTAATCCCTATTGACAAACTGACAATAATCTCCATATTTAGATGACGGATAGGCTCAAATATAGTTTTTATTTAAAATGTAGATTGTTCCGTTGGTTTTTCTCATGCTTTGAGCTCTTCTTCTCAGTAAGACAATTGGCGTGTAGCCAATCACCTCTCTGTTTCTGCATTTTGAATTCACTCACACGCTGATGATGTATGACAATGATGACCAGTCCCTTTTTAAACTGCTTTCATGAACACTGTTCCTTTAGCACTGATTTTTCTCTAGTTTTTCTTCTCTCTCAGTTTTCACTTGCAGCTGATTTCAGATTTTCAACATTTACTTTGACAATATCAAAAATTTATGATCTATTGTTTTCGCACAACTGAATTGGCATAATGGGTTCTCTTTGTACAATGCAGGCTCCACGATGGGAATGGAGGAGATATTTACTTAGCATTTAATGCGCACCACTTTTTTGTCAAAGCAGCAATACCTTCACCACCACAAAATAGACGCTGGCACCGAGTGGTAAGCTATTCCTGTTAGTACGGAACGCTTTTTGCATATACATCCAAAACAAAATACGAGACAGCCTCTGAATTCTGTTACTGCTCTATATTTGTTTATTCTTTTGGAATATAGAATTGTACCTACCAATTTTGCAATTTATGGGTCCAAGCTGGCAAGCGTTGTATTACTTCCCCATTTTCCTATCCCATTTCCCATTGAACGCTTCCTTTTGTCCGAATTGAAGTTTAACATTTTGCTCTTTTCAGAATGTGAACAATCCATCATGATCGTGCTACCGAATTGGATATAGTTGTGTCCTTAGTTTGTGATTAGAGTAGTGGAGTATGGATACACGGATTTCCTTTTCTATGTAACTTTAAGTGGAATTTCATTTAAAAAGGGGGGAAATTGAAAGTAGAACAGACTAACTATTCTCTAATTTATAAAAAGTGTTGGGTGTGCGAACAAAGTCCGACATTGGTAGCTGAAAAGATTGGAAACTAATCTCGTTCAATTTCACTCCTCTATTTGAGGATATGAAAACGGTCGATGCAATAGTAATACCCAACAAAGAGTCGGGGTCGATTTTCCACAGGGAGCTATGAATGGGTCTTAGGAATATATATTATAGTGTATGAGCTTGAATTATCTCAAATTGCACTTCCACAAATTTTGGTTGTTTCTAGGTCTAATTTAAACGAAGACTACAAACTAAGAATTTAAACTTTGAAAGTGTTTTTGGTTGTTTTTCAAATGTTATGAAAGGCCTAGGGCTATGACCTTCACCTAGGTGTTCACCTAATGGGTTGTAAGCTTTAAAGCTTGTTTTATTGGTCGGGGTGTATTATAGCTATCAACACCCAAGTACCCACTCAATACCTCTCGGTCAGATAGTGATTTTGCCCAATTTGGCTTTCACAAATCCAAATGGGTATTGAACAAAACAGTTGATGATAAGCTCAAATCGGGTTTTACTATCTCTAGATTCAACCCTTTAATTGGGCTTATCAATCTCTCGATTGACCCAATTTCTTGCTAGCCAAGTTTTTCTAGACTAAGTCTCTCTTTCTCAAGTAGAGACCAAGTCAAATAGGCATGAAATAATGTTTGCAACCATTAATTCTTCACATAAAAGCAAGAACTAGGCTAGATAATCAACACCCAACCATAAACAAGCAATAAATCAAACACCCATTAAGTTTACACACTAGGGTTGGGTCACAACCTTAGTGAAAATCTAGCTACTCATGCTTGAATTGAGAGAAAAAGAAGAAGTAATAATTAAACCCATGTTGATAATTAAAATGATGAAATCAATATTCAAAAAGCTCAAAATAGCAAAAACTACTAAAAAGAGTAAAAGAAAACGTCTACTGTAGCTGCTGATGTCAAAACTTGACCTGAAAAAGTGAAACTCTTCTATTTATAAAGTGCTGGAATTTTCGGACAAAAATGCCCTTTCGGAGGTTCTGCGGCCGCACAATTCCATGTGCGGTCCGCACTTTGCTTCAGCCTGACAGGAATGGAAACCTGCGGCCGTATAATTTTGAACTGCGGCCGCACTTCTCTCTTTCTGCGGTCCGCGCATTTCTGAGTGCGGCCGCACATTGCTCTTCTGCGGACCGCACAAATGTGGCTGCGGTCGTGTAGCTGTTCTTCTGCGGCCGCACAATAATTGTGCGGTCCGCACTTCTATTGAACTTGAGATGCAAGTTCTCTGAACTTTTGCTCTTGCCCAGGTGACATGTGCGTACCGCACTTTGCACTTGTCTCTGATAGGAGTTTCTTCACAATCTGCTGCCGCAGATAAAAATCTGCGGTCCGCACTTTGAGCTTTTGTGCATGTTTGTGTCCTTGAGTTCAGATCACTCCTTGAGTTGGATTTCATCTTGGGGGCTCCTTTTTCCACTATTCCTGCAATTAAGCATATTTCATCAGTTTTCGGGAACACAATTAAACGCTTTTGGACTAAAACGAAAGCAAAAAGGTACTAATAAGTAGTCAAAATCCCCACTTATCAGAAACCTACATATAAGGTGTAAGAATCTTTTAATTGTGTGAGCCCTTTTGGAGGAAACCGTATGAGCTTTGACCCAATAATTGGTATCAGAGTTCCGGTTCGGCGGGACGAGTATGCCGGTGGCAGAGTAATCGTGTGGGGCTTGATTTACTTCCCCTTACGAGCTTAGAGAAACACACAGACAAGAAGAAGCTAGTAGCAGGCTTTGATTGCCATAAACACTCTAATAATGTGGGTGACACATAGTAAATCTTGGAAATTGACGGATCATGGTATTGACCACGTGGAACTTAGTTTGAGGGGGAGATTGTTTGGTGTGCAAGCAAAGTCCCACATTAGTAGTTGAAAAGATTGGTAACCTATATAAAAGGTGTAGGGGAGTCTTTTGGGGAAAACCATGCGGGCTTGACCCAAAGCGGATAGTATCACACTATATTAAAGTATATTTGGGCTGGTTTAGCCCAACAAACTGATTTTAATCCATATTTTTCAGCATTACAATCTCATTGAAGCCTGTCAAAGGAATATAACAAGCTACTTCTTTGTATAGAAGAAAACACAAACACTGTACGGCATTCAGTCATATACAGTGTCATATATGACATACACTGTATAGCATGTGAAATAATAGCAGTCGTATACGCAGCATGGCTACAGTACCAGTATGATGTTTAATACGGATGCAATACTATGTTGAATAGGGATACAATACCAGTGGTTATGCTAATATGAGATAATGTCTTGCAGTTTGTTAAAACGATATGAAGATATGAAAATTAGGGGAAAAGCTACCATTTGGTAACTACATTATAGTATTGCTTGTGTTAGTTGTGTCATCAGAAGAATACAAGTAGCAATCGTTGTTATAATAAAAGGCTTATCCCATTCATGAAGTGTTCCCAAACTAGTGCTGGGGTAGAGGGCACTGGCGAATATACCATGTCGCCTTCCCCTTGCATTATTATACTAAATAAATAAAAAAACTAACCATTTTATTTTGTTATCAGAAGAATACAGCAAGAAACAATCACAACTATAACAAATAAAGGGTTTACTGGCTCACGGAGTGTTTCCAAACTTGTGCTACAGTACAGGGCGTGGGCGTAACACGACGCCAGCTTCCCCTTTCATTACTATAATAAATAAATTAACTTACCATCTTATTCTTTTTCCTCCCTAAAATTTTCAGACTCCTGTCAATCATACAAAGATCGTGTTCCTTTTTCTGAAAACATATTTTGACACTACCATATCCTTTTCAGAATATGCACGCTAAGATACAGGATATTTCACTTCAGAAGATATAAAAGCATGAAAAGGAAAATATGCAGCAGATACTGCATCCCAGGCATATTTTACCTTGGATGAATTGGAAACTAATAAATGATCTATGACATGATATCCTTTCTTCATAAAGTTTCATTCTGCCGAATCTGCGAAACAACAGCCATTTGGACCTATCTCCAGACAATCTTCCATTTATTTTACATTATTTTGTTCGCTCTGTTGTAAGTTCCAATTTTTTATGAGAAGGAAGGTTGATTTGCATGTCTGTTCAATGTAGCTAGTATTTGTTTTGGTGGTGTTGTCTTGATCTTTACTGTCTCAAGTAGTACGGAAACTAAAGGTGTTACCCTCTTCAAATTTCGTACAAACTGATAATGTTTTAAGTGCAGGTGGACACTAATCTGAAATCCCCTGGTGATTTTGTTACTGAAGGCATTGCTGGTATCAGTGGAACTTATAATGTTGCACCATATTCTGCTATTCTTCTGGAAGCAAAGCAATAATTATTAGATTATGCTGCTTAAGATATTCTGCCCTGGGTTATCACCTTCTTGATTGGGTGGTTAAATCGAAATTCAGGCGCTAATATAAGCATACAGTTAGCCTACAGATGTAATCTGTTAGAAGCAGAAATTCATGAAGAAGTTTGCGATAAGTGACCAGTTTGTTCAGGCTGTTATTAACATGTATAAACAACCTGCAGTAACCAGATAAATGGGGACCATTTGTCCAGGTTGTTAGAGACGGATCTTGGTTATGAGGAATGCGCAGGACGTAACATATTAAGGCAGGCTGTTGTGTTGGCTTGCAGAATCAACATATTCATCTGCTGACACATGCTTCGGCCATCCTTGTCTCTGAGAGGTAGGAACATAGTGGTGGGTCGCAAGGAATTTTTAAATAGGCAAAGGTTCTGTAAAGTGCCTTCATCATGTTTTCTCTTCAAAGGAGACAAATTTCTATGTAAATGTTTCTTTATAAAGTTCATTTCTTATTAACCCCGCAAAGTTATTCCAGAGAGGATAAAAAGAGACTTTGGGATGTGCATCCTTTTCTCCCTTCCCATTTCATTATTTTTATGTATCAGGAATACTTAGTCTAAAGCCTTATCTAAAACTCTGGAAATAAGGTAAACCTTGACATTACAGTTGGTTTCACGTTTCCAGAGTGCAGCTTCTAGGGGCGTTCAAAGAAAATTGAAAAATATAAAGCTTCAATCTTTAATCAAATCCCCAAAAGTCACAAAAATTAATTTAGGTTCACATGGTCAAAACACGAGTCAAAGAGTAGATTTTGACTACCCATATCCTTACGAGTCTAAATATGTGATTAGATTTCAAAACAAAGTTCAAATCGACCATCAAATCTCCAAAATTCAACTTCTTAAGTTGTACACAAACTCCAATTTTCACGTTGAAATTTCAAGTTTAAGGTGTAGAATTTAATAGGGAATCAAGATATCAAGCCAAATCCAAGTGAATTCCTTACCTCCAATGTGGTAGTGAATTTGCTCTTCAAAATCTCAATCTCTTGAAGTCTAGGGTTCAAAACATAGAGAGAATGGGTCAATTCCGGAAATAAATCTCTTAAGTGGTCTGCCCAAGCATCTTCGCACCTGTGGCTAAAAATCTCGCACCAACGAGATTGTATTTGCGACCAAAATCCTCGCTTCAGCCTTCCCTCGCACCTGTGGCACATCATTGCAACTACGGAGACGTAGGTGTGTCCTACCTTTTCCAGATGTGTACAATCCTAGGTAGTCCACTCTTTGTAGGCGCACGATAAATTTACGCATCTACGCAAACCACCTCGTAGATGCAGCCAACTATTGGACTAAGCCGTCCTTCACTTCTCCGCATAGAATTTTCGCATGCGAGACATCACACCTGTGCACTAAGAATCGCAGGTGCGGCACACCAGCAATGCTAACAACATCCAAAGTGATCTCGAATCATCTTGAAACACACATGAGCCCCCCGAGCCCCCATCTAACCATACAAAACGAATCCTAATACCTTATCTTAACTTATTCAAATGATCAAAACACCACAATTAACATCAAAACCAAGAATTAACGATTAAAACCTATCTCTTAACTTCCAAACTTTCTAACTTTGCCAAATACGTTTGAATCATGCTTAAGCATTCCAGACTCCAACCAAACTCCGCACACAAGTTCCAATCCACTAAATGAACCTAACCAAAGTATCGGAACACCAATCGAAAGCCGATAACATCAAAGTCAACTCCCGATCAAACTTATGAACTCTCCAAATCTTCAAATTGCTAACTTTCGACAAAAAAAAATCAAAACTTTCTAGGAACCTCCAAATCCAAATTCGAACATATGCCTAATTTCGAAATCGCTATAAGAACATATTGGAATCATAAAATCACCAGCCCGAGGGCGTTTGTTCAGAAGTTAAACTTAGGTTAACTCTAGCAACTTAACCTTCTAAATTGGAACTAAGTGTTCCAAATTACTCTCAAACCTTCCCGAAATCAAACTAACTATTCCCGTAAGTCACAAAACAACAAACACATATACGGAAAGCATCAAATAGGGAAACGAGGCTCAAAGGCCGATCATTACAAGTACATGGGGTCAATTGTACTCACACTACACTTTTGCATCTTGTGTGTAGATTTTAGAGTTGAGCTGTTGTGGATAACGAAGGCTAGCATTGAAGGAGATGTACCAGCGTTCCAGTGGCAAGCTACCCTTTTGTTCATGGTAGATTAGGATTGTACTTTTGTTTATGTATATTCAACCAGATGTTGTATTTTCTTCCTACCATCGTTGTAAATCTAAAATCTTAGTGGCACACAACTTATACTACTAGTTCATGGAATAGTTGTATTGATTTTCGCGTTCTTATATTAATATATTTGATGATTCTCGATTTCAATTGTGTATGTGTTAGTTGGTTTACCTACTAGGTTGGGTTAGGTGCCGTCACAACTTGGTGGCATTTTAGGTCGTGACAAGTAGGTATCAAAGCTATAGGTTCATAAGTTATACAAGTCATGATGAAATGTCTAGTAGAGTCTTGTGGATTAGTATGATAACGTCCATACTTCTATTCGAGAGGCTACATGACATTTAGGAAACTTTACTTTTTTTTTCTTTCCTTATTATGTGACCTTGACTCAGCATGAAGTCTAATCATTGATTTTTCTCTATTTGATCGTATTCGTTGTTGAGTACTCGATATCAATTGTGCATCGACAACTTGTGATGTCATGGATGAGGTGCGAGATAGTTTTCTGTGTTGTGAAGGTAGGACAATCTAAAGGACTTGATGCCAGGTTTAGGCTACAGCTTTGGCTTCACAGATTCAGTTGTGTGAGTATGTGATTTTGGGACTCTTACATTCGGTAGTGTCCCTAGTAGTGGGATTGATGGCTCGGTGAGTGGCAAGATAGCTATGTGATGAGTATTATGTGACTGAAGACTACTCCTAGATAGTTTGGATGTGATGAGAAATATTTGCTTGAGGTGCAAAATGAATATGAATATTTGATTATAATCTTGATGCCCAATACTATCTTAAGATTTGGTATGTGTTGATGGACCTTTCAGTTGTTCATTAGTGGAATGAAATAGATTTTTATATCTTGTTGACGGGTGTAGAATCTGGAAGATGAATTGGTCACATAGAGGTTGTAACCATGGTAAGGTCATAGAAGATATTGAATGGAAGCTACAAATGGGTTATCTCCTGTGAGAAGACTTGAGGTTGTATCATTTCTTATGAGGTTCCTATGAAGAGTTTTTCTTCCACCCGATGGAATGTATGAACTACAACAAGAGTTCCAATCGCATGAGGGAGTTGGTAAAGCTGTCACATGGATGAGTATGCACTTGGACAGATCATGATAGTTATGAAGGAAAAGTATTGTGGATTATTGGATGATGTGATTATGGCTTAGATCCAAGTGTGGGAGACTACCATCAATGATTGGGTCATATAGGCTTGCGTTGTTGTGATTCCGAGACTATACGCTTGTGGATTACCTATGATTTGAGAAGGGTGACATCGAGGATGATTTGGGCAAGGAATTTGCTGGATACATGATGTACTATACATTATTGATATATGGAGATTATGGAACGACTCAGGTTTGATATTCTTTGTGGATCTATTGTGCAAAGGTAAAGAATTACTCGGTTGCCTAAGGATGAGGTTGCTTCTTAGATGTATTTATGTGCTAACGCAACACAAATCGTTCGGCATGTATTGGCTATGCATAAAGTTCTAGAGCAGAATGTATGATTCCCTAGAATGGTTCTAGTGGGTTAAGTTCTAGGATGTGATACTTGAGGATTTTCCAGATTCCGTTGTATGGTTAAAGATTTGAGATTTGCCTTGGATTGTGCTTGGATTATTTCTATATCATTATTGGTTCTACATTGTAACGTTAGAGAGATGAAATGAACAACTTCAGATTCACTGAAGGGCTCTTTAAATCAGACATTTGGGTTTGAAGTACTTATGGGTACATGAAAGGGAGTATAGTGGCTTACGGAACTTAGAATGTTGTAGTTTCATGCTGGGATCAATTGTTATGAGTTTTTCTTAAAGACCACAGTACATTGGAAAGAAGAAAGACCCCTTGAAGGCAGATCAAAGGAAATCTAAAGAAGTTAGATCAGCATAGCAGTGGCTTGGATCAACATGGTAATAGAAATAATCGATTTCTTTTGGTATGATGGGCCATTTCAGTCACTTTTGTGGTAGGACATCTGTGTTTGGAAATCTGCGTGACTTGTTTGGCTTGGAGAGATTCATTTTTTATTGTGGATTATTGTGTAAGCGGATTCTAAAAGTTTGAGGACTATCACGAAGGATGTAGTGAGTTGTGTAATGTTTGGACTGCCTTGAAAAGTAGCGATTTATCTTCAGGTAGAAGGATTGGGATCAGATATAGCGCAAATGCTTTGAGTTGCTTATGGACCATGGTAGTATAGATTTCTCCATCATCAAGAAAGGGAATGTGTTGTAAAGGGTACCTACATATGAGGTATGAGAATAATTTGACTAAGAGCTATGGCAATTGTGTGATGGTCAGCAATCGAGATTTTGGATTTTAGTTGCTATGGAGGACCTATGGATAATGCACGTTTTGGAGATGCTTGCAGGCGTGACTTTAGAGTTGTTTTTGAGTAGGCATTTTCATTGGGATGAGGAGTCTTATACTTTTGGAGTTTAGAGATTTGGCTTTCTAGAGGTGAGACTATCTCCTTGGTTATGGTCAGATTGCATGTGTCCTTGGTGGATGAAATGAGAAGATTTGTGCTTGTTCGAGCTTGTGGATTATGGTATTTAGGGTGTTGTGATCTGCTTAGGTGTAGTGATGTATCTTTCTAGGAATTGTTGATTTGAGGAGTATGGTTCGAGAGGTTGTTGGAACTATTTTATGTGCTGGAATGATGAACAAGTTGAGTAATGACTTAGAGGCTCAAGGATTTGTGTATTCTATGCATTGGGTTCCACAAGGTTATAGCTGATCATGAGTGGTGTAGTTGATAATCAGGTTGATAACATGTTGCATGTATATATTCGCAGTTGAGGCCAATGGTTTAGAGATCTCTTGTGTACTCATGAGTGAGAGTTAGAATGGGTCACTTTGGACCTTTGGAAGACTATTTACCTATTTCGGAATGGTTTGAATCGGTTTGGGGGCCTATTCGTAGACCTAATAAGAATGTGTATTTTACACTGAATTAGATTTGCTTTCTCAACGCAACATTTTCTATGGGTTTGTCATCAAGTAGAATTGGTCTTATTCATGCCATGATTTGTTTCGTGTGTTACTCTCTTATAATATGATGAGTTGTGATACTCATGCATGTTTTGGTCATGTTTAGGCCTTATGGCGATATATGAGAAGATGAATCTTGAAATGTTTATTTGCTTATTGCTCTTTAGTCGTGCTTACCTTTTCCGTGGTATATTATGTTATCCGTCTCCCCACGATTATGTTTATGCACTTTATGTGCTTGTTGTTGATACACATGTGTTTGGTGAGTATGATAATTATTG